ATTTAAACTGCTTTGCAACAATCGGGGTCAGCAGGGGTGCATCCCCTCTGCCACAGGATGCTGCATCACCTGCAAGGGGACAGCAGCCCCCTTGTCACTTGTGTCCCTCTCAAACAGCTGCAGTCATCCCAGCCCTTTCCAGCCACAAGGAGTGGGATAGAGGGTGGTTTCCCACCCTGCAAAGAGGAGAGGTTTCAGTTGTGCCACTGAAATGTCCCCTTTTGGGGTCCAGGGGACACTGAACGATGCTCTGACCCCCAGGAGCACACTGTGGGGCATGACCACAACTGTTCCCATGGCTCGGGACACTCCTAAACCCCAGGTGGGGACGTCTCCAGCACTGCGGTGCCTCATCCAACATGCGGGGGCACCCTCACCCATGGCTCCCAGCTGTACCCACGTCCCTCCCATGCAGGTGTGAGTGTCCACCCCATGTACCTGTGCACCCGTGCAGGTGTGTCTCTGCACAGACAGACCTCACACAAACCTTGCACACACAGAGCCGGCGCGCACCCGTGTGCGCAGACACACTCAGGGATGCAAACACCCTTTATGCTCCTTACAGACCCATAACCCTCCTGCATGTGCACGTGCTCGTGCATGCACATGCCCTGCCACGTGTGCACATGCCTGCAGGCACCATCATCCTCCTGCTCACGTTTGTCCTCGCACGCACACGCCGGCATGACCAATCCCATGGGATGGTGACCCACGGAGGGAAGTGTGGTACAAGACCCACCAAAGGCAGGGGGCTGGCAGCATTGCCCCAGCTGCTTCACAGACAGTTCCAGGGATCCAAGGGTTCAGCAAGGGGTGGTGGCTGGGGGTGAGGATGTGTTTTTGGGGGGTGAGGCTGCCTGGCATGCAAGGCAGCAGCTCTTAACACCGTTCTCAACAGAATGCCCCCTGCCCTTGCAGGGCTTGGCAACCAGCACAGAGGAGCCAGAGAGGGCTGGGAAGGAGTGGAAGAGGGCAGGTGGGTCCTGGGGAATGCCTTGGGGATTCCTGGTTTGGCCCCAGGGCCCTCCCCAGCTTCTCCAGAAGTTTGGGATATGATGGATCAGGAGAGGCGGGGGTGAGTTCCCCATCAGCACAAGGCCACCAAGGTCTGAAATGCTGCCAGGGGAGGGGGAGGTCACTCAGCCCTCTACCCGCCCAACCCCATGCAATGGATCCAGGTAGATCCACAGGGTTGGGAGACACTGGCTGGATCCAGCCTGCCAGACAATCACTGCTCCTGCAAAGCTGCAGCCTGCCTCCCCAAAAGCATTCCCAAGGGTCCTCCTCACCAGTGAAACCGGGACTGGAAGGGCTGCGACATTCCTGGGAATTATCAACAGGAATATTAGCAGCCAGGGTTTTGTAACTGTTCTTGCCAATCATTAAAGAACAGCGTCATTGCTATTAATGAGTCCGATTAAACCAGGTGTTGAAAGCCTTTATTAAATATTAGCTCAGCTTTTACCTGGGCCAAATTCCCACTGGAATTTTCGAAGATTGAATGAAACTTCGGGCCAAACCTCAAAGCTCTGCCTCATTCCTTCTCATCCCAGTTGCACTTCCCAAATTCCCCTGAATTTTGCCCCAGCTCGAGGAGCAGCCCTTCTGGCTCAAACATTTCCTGGCGAGTGTCACGCTGTTTTGGGGGGGATGAACTGCCTCGGCCTTGCCCTGTGCTGCCTCTTCACCTCTCCTATCTCTCCAGCTCACCTCCTCCCCTCTGCCCTGCCACTCCTCCTCCTCACTGCCTGTTTGCCCCGGAGGAGCCAGGGGAAGCGAGCCAGCTGCCTTCTCACGCAAACCTGGGCAATCGTTAACCTGGGCCTGGCTCTGCTGCTGGCCCAGATGATCCTGCCACCACCAGTCCTAGGACATGGAGGCCCACCAGATGTTTCCCCAGGGATGGAGAGGGCTGTGGATGCAGATGCCTTGCCACAAATGCATCCCCTCACTCACAGCCTGCAGCTCCCAGCACCTCCAGAGTGGCCGCAGAGGTGACAACCTCTCTGGGGGCTGGGAAGAGTCTGGTCAGCCCAGAGAAGGTTTCTGGGGAAATGCTGGAACCCACACCCCGCAGGGAAGCGATGCTGAGAGCACATCCTCCATCCTCCCCAGGGCAGGGCTTAGGGATCCCTTCTTATTCCCTGTCCTAGAGCCCCCCTTCTGCCTTCCCATCCCAGACTCTGGTGCAGGCACATGCTCTGCGCAGGAGGAGAAGTCACCATTCATGCCCCCCAGAGCCTGTTGGAGGGGAGGAAGGCTCTTCCCTGACTTCTTGGGGTGGCTCCAGCAGAGTTCAGCCTCCTTTGTTAATGGGTAGCTATTTCCAAGGGCTTTTGTGTCATATTCCTCTGGTCACACCCAGTTGCGCAATGAGGGGAGCTCTTAAAAAGTCGTGGTCTTCCAGGTGGCAGGAGGAGAAGGTTCAGGAGGCAGAGGAGGATCCCCACTGCTCCCCAGGGCAGGCAGCTGCCGGACACCCTCTTCTATCTCTGCTGGGAGCCCTGCACAGTAGAACAAGCCCAAGGACCCGCAGGTAGGAGACAACGTGTGCATATGGGTTTGAACGTGGATATAGGACTGGGAAGGTCATATTTGGGTCTCCCCTCCCGTCCCTGCTCACTCAGTGAGCTGTGTGTTCCCACAGAGCAGCCCTGTGGCATCTCCGCTCCCCGTGACCCCACATGCTGGTGGCCACTCAGCAGATTCAGCCTGCTGGATATAACTCCTCATGGATTTGGTGGTCCTGGGGCCATATTCACTGAGGAACTGCTCTTCTTCTCCTCCTGCTTCCCTATGCTTTGTTGAGCTGCAGTTTTCTGTGCCTCCTTAAAAGACAGTCTCCCCTGGGCAGGAGCCATGGCTGTGCCAGTGAGTGCTGAGGTCTTCTGCAGGGGAAGGGGTGTCACTCTGGGGGGCTGAGGTCCCCCTTTTAGAGATGGGTGACTGAGTTTGGAGTCTTTACGGGTCTCCAACTTCTGCCCCTTAAAACCCCCAGTGCTGCACGGGCAGGTTCATCGCCCTGAGCTGTTTCAGGGCTCTCGGTGCCCTGTCTCAGCATCAGGAACATTCACAGAACTCAGCCCTTTGCTGATGCCAGCCCTTGCCCACACTCTGGTTCACTTCTTTAGGGTTTCTACCTGCTGGCAGCAATGACGAAGG